CTGAGGAAGCCTCTTGTAGCACTCACTGGCTGTAGCTCTTCCTGAGCAGGGATGCAGGAAGAAGGGCCTGCCAGAGTTGCTAACAGCCATGCAAAGGCAATAGCTGCTTCCATTGCCATAAAACCAATTAATTCAAAGAGGAGACGAATCGAGTTGCAAGGGGGAACAGGCAATAGCTACAGCATCCAGGTCCCGTGCTAGCACTGGCCCGTGGAGCTGTAGCTCTGTGGGAGAGCAGCAGTTTCCCAGCGCTAGACACAAATACACGCACTCCAAGCAGAGCTTATTGGGTTGAGCACTGTGCAACATCAACACCATTGTACTGCTACTAACCCAAGCTGCACTTAGAGCCTGATGGAAGGCACGTGTATCAAGTGCGCCAGTACTTCCAGGGACGGGTTTAACCAATGTGGTTGTCTCTTGCGCTAATGATAGTGTAAACATACCCAGTGAGACTGGCCTTTTCCTCTAATTCACTTTGATTTACCCTTCTCCCTGGAGAACCACGGTAAAAAAAGCCCTGCCTGTGATTCAGTGGTGAGCAGAGCACAGAAATGGCTGTGGTAGACCTGGGTGCATCTCCATCTCCTGCTCCACCAGAACCTGGAAATCAGTCAAATTGCTGGTTTTTTTCCCCCTATCTCTCGTCTCCTTGTAGTTTCTTGTTTGAGCCCGCCTCTTGTCCCTAGATGCATGTTGAGCAGCAAATGAAGGGGACGTAGCACAATTCCTTACACTCGAGAGATGAAATAATAACAGGTGGCAACACCAGGGGTGGCCCGAGCCTGGCACTCACATTGCCATGGAAACGGGCCCGGCCTGCTGCAGGATGAGCGCTGTCCTCAGCGCAGGGAAAGGGGAGCGAGCGATGCATGGGGGCACTAATCCTATAGGTTGGGTGTCATCAAGTCCTCCTGGGGACCTGACAAACGCGGGCTGAGGCTCTTGGCTGGCTTTGAGCTGCACAGGCAGCCAGATGCTGGCCTTGTGTTTGAATGCTGAGGAAAAGGGAGGTGTTGGAAAGAGAAACTGGGTCCCGACCTGTTTTTAAGAGAAAGCAAATCCATCCCTTTTCTCCATTAACCCTTTTCTCCGTTAACTTGATTCAGGCCTACACTGAGGTTCCTGTGGTCTCTGTCGCGCTCTGGAAATTTTTGTTGCTAGCTGAGTAAATGGCCTGATTCAAATCCTTTTGAATTGAATTGAAAACCTCCAATGGACTTTTATTGGTTTTGGCTCAAGCCCAAGGGAAATAGGTGAGAGCTGGACCGAACATGTTAGGAAAAATCCCTGTTTGGATGGCATATACATCTGATTGTAGGCAATTCACTTTCTTCACCTAAACAAGCAATGCACAGCTCCCACCTCAACACTGAGGTACTCGCTCTGGTATTCATTCTTCATTGCCTTTCCATTTATGTAAGCATTGTATAAGATGGGAATTAATTACTACCATACCTAGATTCTCCACTTGAACCACAGTCAAGTTTTATGCTATAGTCAAGTATGAATTTGTTACGGGTTAAAGAAATTTATGTGATTATTATTTGGTATCAGGGAGCAGAGAATCCAGTTTCTCTTTTCAGCACTGTTTCCAGCTCCAGCCAGGTGTTTAACATTCACAATCCAAATCATTAAAAGTAATAACTTTACTTAAGAAACAGGAAATGAAAAAATTGCAAGATTCTATTCATTTTGCTTTTTGTTTGTATATTTTTAGGGATCAAGTCTGAAGTAAAACTATTGAAAATAATTGTATTCTGAGTTTTCCTGTTGAAAAACAGGGACAACAATTGCTTCTTCTAAACTTGTTTTCCAGCCAAGATATTCTCTACACCCACGAAAGCTAGAAAAGTGAGATTCTTACTGAGAGTCGGGTGGCTCCAGGACAGGATGGAGAAAGAAAGAATCCTAGATTCATGATGCTATTTGACTAGAAATGCCCTTTGCTTATTTGTTTATTTTATTAAAATGAAACCATAAGGAAGGTAACTTTCAGGTTTTGATCACTTGGGAAGGAGAGAAAAGAAGCTAGAACTCTATTTAGACCCTATACGTTCAAAATCAGGAAGGCCCAGAAGTTTTTTAACATAACTTCAGTTTGTTTAATCTCTTAGGCCTTGTCTATACAGAGAAGTTGCTGTGTAATGTAATACAGAATAAAAAAAATGCAGTATTTATTTTTCAAGAGAAGCCTTTGAACACTTTTCTGCATTTTAAACAGGTCTTTATTCTATTTAGCTTAATCTGGTTAGAGAATCACTGATTAAGCTCAAGAAGAAAAAAAGTATCACAGCACAGGAGCCACCGAAGTATTTGGAAATACTGATTTCATTTTAAATCTGCATTCTGTCTTCATGTGTTTGAGCTTTCAGGTACAGAGGAACTGTTCGCTAGCTTTTGCAGATCTTTCTGTGGATCTGCTTAGATTTGAGAAAGTATTTTGTACCAGTATATTTTATGTTGGGGCAGATCATAAATGGAGACAGAGCTTTTGATAAAAATAGAGATCCTCGCCAGGTTGAAAAAACAAGTGATACTTTTCTAAGTACACCCCTTAAGAGCACGCTTTAGCTCAAGCAATGGAGACATCAAGGCTTTTGATCTGTTATAACAGTTCCTAATTTAAGAGGAAAATCAGAGAGGTTTTGACAAGATCATGGCCGGTTGTCAAGGTTTGACTTTGGGTTTCTGATCCTGGATGAGCACTTTAAGAACAAAATCTTCAGTCATACCCATGTGATTCAAATGCTCGTGTTTGTTAGCACACCTTGGTGAACTAGTTCTGGTTACTGAGCTGTCATGTGACTTAAGACAGCAGCTTCTACTTTGCGATTAACTTGTGCAAGAACTGTGTACGTAGTCCATTACTACGTCTCAGATGTAAAGCAGAGACACCTTAGCTGCTGGTAACTTAATTGCTTTCACTAGTGTGTTCATTCTTATACTTACTTTTATGAGTATTTGCACTGATTATAGGATGGGAATAGGATTGAGCTTTGGATACATGATACCCACCTCATGAATATCTTACTACCTTTGCTTTGTTTCTTATTTCCCTCATCATTTGTGAGCTACAGTAAAACAGAACTAAAAACCTCCAAGCACACACACACACACACAATTCCTTTGAAAATAGGAACTCCACTTGCTATTGCTTATCCAGAAATCTCTTTATTCCTCAAATCTTCTGTGATCTAGCCTGGGGCTTAATTCATTGTACAGCACTGATGAGGAAATCAAGCTAGAGTCAAGTTTGATTGTAGTTTTCGCACTTGTTAGAACAGAAAAGCGTTGAAGAGAATAACATTGCCTGGACTAATTTATTTGACTATAAAGATACATTGCTGAACATATCATTGATGCAACTTCAGGGACTTCTTCCCATCAGGTCTATAGTTATGGCAGATATATATATATACATATATGCATATATATATATGCATATATAAAAATATGTATATATATGAGCTTACATGCACTCATATTGTAAATTAAATTGGAACAAAAAGGAAAAAAAGAAAGGTGATCAAGAATAACTATTCCCTTACCAATAGTCTAGCAGAATCTTTTCAGTTTCATCACACCCTACTCAGCACACACACTGTAGACCTATTGCTTAACCCATATATTTTTTCAAAATTCTCTATCCTATTTCTAGGACAACTTTCACTGGGTTTTAGACTTTTAAGATGCTTTGCAAAATGTTAAGTCAGTATCCACAGAGTATTACATCAATTACATCATCCTGAGCAATGGCAGAAGTAAGGCTCTTCACTTGGCCCAGTGGCCAAGTCTTGTTTGCGTCTGTGACCTCACCACAGAATTCTTGTGTGTTCTTGAGTAACCCATTTAATCACTTTATCTCCAAGTTGTTTCCATTGTAAAAATGCAATGGTGACTCCTCACCATGAAATTTAATAAAGATCCATTAGCAGTTTTGTGACAGTCAGTGGCAAGAGAGACTTTTGACTTCATTAAGGGTTAGTATTAGGAATTTAGTACCTCTAATATGCTTTGAGAAATTCAGATGAAAGGTGAAATAATGTAATAAAGAACAACAAAAAATAAAAATCACTAAACACAGAGCTTGCTGAGTTTGCATTGCACATGTCCTGTCTGTAGAAGCAGCACACTATAAAGAGGTAATTAACTTTATCAGAAGCGGGGGTGGAGGCAGAAGAAGTAAATGCTTGTGAGATCTGCTTTTTAGATGAAAATAAATGCACAGCTAGCAACTTTATGATCATTTTGTTAAAGCTCTTAAAATGAGTCAGTATGCTGGGTTTCCACCTGGTTCCTGTTCAGTTTTTGCTTATTTTGTAGGCACATGTTACATACTTCTCCACTAGCAAGCACAATGCTAACCTAACAACAGCAGATTCTCTCTCTCTCTCTGGCAGAAGTGGGGATCTGCTTTACCAGGACCCTTTCTGAATAAAGACCATTCTTTAGTAAATATGCCAGGGACTGGCCATAATGCAGGAAGAGAATGGTGTATTTGCACCATTATCATTTTTATTTATTTCTTAAATCCACCTTCTCTGCTATCTTCCAATTACCAATTTCCCAAAAGTTCAACCAATCAACAGCTGGAAGAAAATAAATAACTCAAACCAGAAAAAAAAATAGTTGAATTCTGAGGAAATTTTAATTTTACCTTTATGTCTTGGCCTGGTACCAGAAAGTTGTTGTTCTTTGAGGAAACCTGGGATGCGGAAAAAACTCTTCTTAAGGACATTAGTAAATTCTGTTAAAATATCTGTTAAAATTATGCAAGTTAGAAAATATTCTTTAAATTGATAATGAAATAGAGATGGTACTGTTTGAAGGACTTCATTTTCCAAATTGTAGAAGTACTAATGTGATAGACACTGGGATTTTTAATCTACAAATTAAAAGAAAGTAAAACAAAACCCATTAATATCATATTGAAGAGTAGAGGAAGGTGTCCAAACTGATTGCCCCTTAAGTAACACTGATTTCTGACCTGACTGCAGCCCAGAAAGGACCAGACGGGGTCATCATTCCCAATAACTACTGTGACTTCTGCCTCGGAGGCTCCAGTATGAACAAAAAAAGTGGCCGGCCTGAGGAACTTGTATCATGCTCAGACTGTGGGCGCTCTGGTAGGTGACTCCTTCTTGCAACTTTGTCATACAAAAGCGTTTGCGTGATTCATTTTTTTTTGCCCCTCCTGAAGATTTTGAAGAAAGGCAGCACGTCTGGGAGGCAATGGGAAACAAGGCCTTACCTCTTGTCTGTGTTTGTGGGAAAGCCTGATTGGGAAATTTTCTGTCATAAAACCCATTGCTGGATTCACGTTTTTAAGCTAATGGGATCTTATGAAATAATAAAGATTTAATGTATTTATTGGCTGCTGTGAACATTGTTCCATGTACTAGTTGTTCTTTAAATGGAAGGAGAAAATCCTATGACAATGTTAAAGAATGGGCTCTGTCTTTAAATGCTGCAATTACAACTATAAATTACTTACAAGATTTATGAAACTTGCATGACAAGCATTTCCATTGATTACACATTTCATGCATTTCTTCATCCAAAAAAGAAGGAGGGAGGAAATTACAGGGTAGGAATGGGGGTAGCTGTCAAGAATTATCCTCTTACAAGATAACTATCATTAATTTTGTTTTAAGAGGTTTTTATTTCTCTGTTTTCTTCCCTTCTCTCTTTTCAAATGTAGGCAATTGTGTCTTTTTCATCCTGAGTTGTCTTTATTTCCGGGCTGTTTTTTTCTATGGTTCTATCTTTCTTTTTTTGGTGGGGGGAAATATTATCCCAGCTGAGCTGTTATTTGTAGCTGGGGCTGGAGGTGGTCGTGGTAGAAGGAATTGGAGACCTTGAACAACTACATATTCCCGCTTCAGTCTGAGTTTCCAGTGGTGGTATGTCTGGATAGTGATGATAGTAGCGGTGATGAGACTATTAACAGTAAATCTGAAAAAACAGAGAGACCTTGAAGTTCGCTGTTGCTGCTGCTTCTGTTCTGTAGTCACTGAAAGATGTTTGTTGTGCGATGGCTGAAGTGCAACGTGGAGTGTTGTCGTGCTGAAGGAATGGCCTTCTCGTACGCCCACTGAAAGTCCCAGTAACGCTCTTACCAACCTCAGTGGGAGCAGGAGTACACCTGCCCTGGCAAAGGGCCTTCTGCACTTGTCGTGACCTCTGAAGACATGCTGAAGTGCTAAAGAGTGGCCATCAGAGGACCAATGGCAACCCCTTTGGTTTTCTTATGAGTGCTGCGCAGTCACTAGCATGGATCTTCTTTTAGTGTTTATGTGTTTGCTTCTCAGTAAGAGGGGAAGCTCATGTGATGCGTGGTGCCATCTGGGAAAATGGTTCCCCTTTCCTTTGACTGTGGTAGTTCAATATAACTCATTTCAGCAGCATCCTGATATTGCACAGTGAGACAGAGTCATGTTTTTTTGCTGTTTAAACACTGCGACAGTGATTATATCAGAGCATAATGCAAACACGTTAATTCCCATGCTTCCTTAGTGTGATAGGATAAGTAATTCTGCATGTAACCTAAATTGTGCAAAATCAGTTCCATTAAATGGCATCCTTGTACGGATTCTGACCCACCTGGGTCATTCATAAGGGGCTGCAGTGGTGTGACAAATGAGTGATGACAGTGATTAAGGTGCAACCACACACGCTAATCTGTAAAGTAAAACAAGGAGAACTCTTTGGTGGCTGCTGTCTTCCTCTTTCTTGATAATGGAAAACGTTTTCATTATCTGAAAGAGTGGTTCTAGAAACTGTAAGGGTTCCTCTCTTCATGAAGTCTGTAAAATCACGTCTCTATGAAGTGGTTCATCAAGCAATAATTTTGTTATATCCATTTTCTTTTTATGATCAGGATTTAATTCTTTGTTTGTTTCTTAAGCAATGCAGTGTATTTGTTGTACAGCTGATTCTTGTAGCTGGAGGGGGACCAACCACTTGATTATTTAATATCACGTTAGTGTTTCTAAATAATAAAAGAGCAGTCCCCTACAAACTGGTGCTTTCATTTTGCTGGGCCACAAGAGACATCTTGTACTCTACCTTTCTTGAAGAGAGAGAATTTAAGGGGTGTACTATTAATCACCTAACACGTGTGACTGAAGAGAGAAAATAAACCTCAGTTTCACTGATTTGAATATTTGACTTTTATTTTAAGAGTCTTCCTTTTGTTAATGTTGTTGTTGTCCCTGTTGCTGCTATTGATGTTGTGTGTGGAGATTTTCCTGTTCCATGTTGAAAGGTGGATCGACGCACACTTTTGAAATTATCAGTGCTTCCCAAGACAGGTCATTCCTCATCTTAGCTGTTTTAGTAGTTGAACTGTATATATTTGGTTTTGGGGGTTTTGTTTTGAAGGAGATACCATGAAATTGGAATAGAAATGTTTATTTAGTTTATTTTCACAAAGTTTTCAAAACATGTTTTATTTTGCCTTCAGAGGAACCTCCTTAGCATCAGGTGCAGGACAGGGATAAAAAGTAATTGTGAGGTTGGTAAGACATCTAATGGGTTATATTTCTATAGCAGTAAATTTGTGGCAGTTGATGCCAGTCTGAAGGACAGTCTTTGTGCTTGGAGTTAACGGTGTCTAATTACTTATATGGTCTAAAAGTCTTTTAAAATTGATCTAAGTAATCACAAGAAAGTATTTTAATGTTTTCTGAAGAGAGGAAAACGTCATTAACCCTTTCGCTGCTGTAGCTATGGGCACCCGTGTTGATAGATTTTTTTTCCTTTTAAGAAGAACCTGGTCCTTTTTTATTTTTCTTACTGCAGTTCTACCAAGCCATGTTGTTGAGGTGCGCGGGCACACGCAAGCACACACCTATGAGCTCGATAGTCTGAATTGTTTGATAATGATGATGATTGAAAAAATGCTGATAATGATGCCTGTTGCTTAACCCATGTGCTGATATATTCATCATACATGTCAGCTCATTTGGGAAGAGAAGGCAGGAGGGACGAAGCAGCGCCAGCACGCACTCCGGAGGACTTGTTCGGTTCCACGTCCGAAAGCGACACCTCGACCTTTCACGGCTTTGACGAGGACGATGCGGAAGAGCCTCTCTCAAGCCGAGGAGGTGGCTCTGGTGGCAGCTCTCCCTCTACAGAAAAAAAGGGCGGCTGCTAAAATAACTAAAAAGACACAAACTCTGAGCGATTCGCTGTCCTTTCTACTACTAGGATTATTATTATCTTTTTTTAAATTTTAGGTCCTTGGGTTTTTGTTTTTTTTTGTTGTTTTTGTTATTTTTCCTGTGGGGTGTACACTGAAAGCACAAGTGTTTAAAGCTCTTGACAACTACTTTGAAGAGACAGAAGGTTTTGATTTTCTTGGTGTTTTTTTGTTTGATTGCTTCTTTTAATTTGTTTTTCTTCCACTTCTCCCTTTCTCCTTCTCCTGGGAAACCTGAAATGTGGATTTAATATTTTTTTAAAATAGTGAGCAGAGTTGATTTTCTTGTCTTTTAATATATATATCAGCAAACCATGAAAAATACAGATGGGTTGGAGAGCAGAAAGGAAACCCAAATAGTTTTTTTTTAATTATTATTATTTATATATTCTATATATTATTAGGGAAAAAAGATACTTTTTAAATAAAATACAAAAAAAAAGTAATGGATGTCTACTTCATAATAGAACTATTTCTAGGGAACCACTGTGGGCGGACTTTATCAGAGGACAAGGAAACCCTTGGTGTGATGGCTTCTGCATTTTGAGATTTTGCACTTACTGTAGCATGTGGATTCTGGCTCCTCTACATTTGTCTTTAACAGCTTGAAAACACAAACAGCTCCGTGACCTTGGGGAATATGTCCCCGTACCTCCTTTGGAAACCTTTACACGATAGATTTCTTCCTTCCTGCACTCTTCATCTCCTCCTCACTCCGTTCTGCTTTTTTTCCTTTTCTTCACTTTCCACCTCATGAAGAGCAATTTCCAAGCATAGGGATGGAAAATGAGTGGTGAGCCGTAGACTTCAAAGATAAAACAGATGGAGGAGCAGAATCATGGAAGAAAAAAATATGGAAAAAATACCTCACCTATATTTTCCTTTCCATTTTTAAATTTTAATTGAGATCATTTTTTCCTGTGTCGCCCAGATTTTTCTCTCTGTAGTGTCTTGTGAGGCACTTTATTTGCTTTTCAATATCTTCTATTGAAATAAACCAAAGCAATACTCATTAAAAGTTCCAAGGGCAATGGAGAAGAGAGTGACTCCTTCCCAGCGACTGTCCCGGGAAAGAGGAAAGACGCAGCAGGATTTCAAAGGTATGTCCCGGCTGAAATGTCTTCCACTCCTTGTGAAATCTGTGCCCTAGATTTGCAACAGACGCTTGCCTGAGATTAGTCGCAGGAGTAAATCCTGGGGATTAGGCTCTATTGTGAATATGTGCCACATCCGAACCTCTCACAAAGCTAATGGAAGTTGCATGGGAACAGGATCTAGCCTGTGTGTAGAGTCAGGAGCAAAGGCTATGAAGAATTCTATGTGTAAGTTCCATTTTACTGTCCTGATGCAAGCAAAAATTTCCCTGAGGGAGGGCAAGGTTAGGTTTTAAGGATGACTTTTTACTGATATGTATAACGCCAACAAATGGTGAAATCATGACCCCGTTTAAATAGTAGGATGAATTCTCATTTGGGTAGAATCTAATCCTGAAGCTAGAGGTGTGTGTTCATGAAGCCAGAAGTTAGAACTGAAATCCCAGCCTAGCAATGAAAGATTTGGGTATTTATTGTTCTGCTGCATGAAAGCCTATCCAAATGGATTTCATTTCTTCTTTCTTTTCCTGGGATAGCACAATACCCTCTCTGAGAACTCTTTCACCATTTTTTTTTTCTAAAAAGATTAAAGGAAAAGAAGAAATGATCCAGTTGTGATGCTTCTCTCTAACTTTTTACTGCTGACTTTAGACATGGAATAAGCAGTGGACAGACTCTGCTTTTGGATACATGGATGTAAATCCAGAATGATGCTATTGATACTTAGACTACATTAATCATGTGTTTTTGAAACTGTAGAAACTTGTTTTACAAAATGTTACTAAATACCTCTGTGTGTTTATAGTGTAGAACAGTGCATGCAAGAGCCAGGCATAGATGGAAGGAGGAAGCTGATTTTAAGCCTTCCCTATCCTGATAATCTTTTCCTGTTGTTATTCTTCTGTTCCTGCTGTAGTGTTATTATCAAATGTCAAATCAATAATGTTTTGGTTGCCCATTGCCAATGAAAAGTTTATTTAGCTTATAAAAAAATCATACTTTCCACAACCAGTGTTTTTCTAGTCTGAAATAATGCATGAGATAAATTTACAATACTTTGCCAGTCTGTATATACTAAAAGCCCAAATTCTGGATGGTTTTAAGAGGTGAGAAGCAGGCGTAGTATAGATGTCTATTTTTCCAAAATCACTGAAGGAGTTATTACTTAGCTTGCATATCCGTACCATTTTGTGTGTGTATGTGCGTGTATGCGTGCGTGTGTATGTATACAGCTAAGCACATACCAAGAATATATGTGCATAGACACACAGACACAGGTATTACAGTGCAGTCAGTAAAATACAAAGGAAGGGAAGTCAAGGTGGAGGACACTTCGTAAGCAAGTATGAAAGGAACCAGGTCTTGTGTTAGGCGCTGTGTTAGGCGCTGTTGGATCCTTTCTTTCATGTTGACCTTTCAGTAGACGAAGAGTAATATCAGTGAAGTCAGTAGATCTCCTCTGAGTTTATGTTAATGTAATTGAGGGCAGAATCTGGTCCACAGGTACTTTTGCTGCCATTTCTCACAGAAATACTATCAACCTGAAATGCAATAGATGAGAAAAAAACCTCAGTTCAGATTGCCTTATTATGTTCCTCCTGCCCTTCAGTCCCTTAACTTACATTTATGTTGTTATCACTATATTATCTCTCCTAAAAAAAAAAAAAAGTTTCCCCTGCTACTGTGTGAAATGTCCATGTGAACCAAAGAGGAGCAGTACATGAAAATGTGCCAAATGGACAGTAAACAATAACAAAAGAAAGCATGATTTCTTGCATCTGTTTCTTGTACCCATTTTGTGCTCATGTCACACAGACTGGTAGGTTAAGAAAATAGTTTCAATTTTTCAAAAAAACCCTGCTCATGCTACTTAAAATAGGACCAGAGTGTGTTTTGACAGGAAAAAGCTCACAGGAGTAATGTAGAGACTTCAGTTATCAAGAAGTTGAGGAGAGCTCAGTTCTCACAGGCTAAAAAGGCCAAGGTTGGTCATTTTTGTTCTTTTGACTGCTTGATTCTGTGTGACGCTGGGAGCTGCGCTCTTAGCCACCTGGCAACCCAGAGCTCGGTGTTCTTGCTCCTGCTCTGCTCACGTGGCGCTACATGCCGCTGCAGCCCGTGCGCAGCTCTGTGCAGCACCCCAGCTAGCCAGCGGGAAGCACCCAGGTGGGGCTCTGTGAACCCCAGTCTGTGTCAGCTGCAAGATAGGCATAGTCTAAATGTGATTTTTTCTAAGTGGAGTCCTTAGCATTGTCTTTTGTGAGCCATGCCTAACACATTCTGGGCTCTTCGGGAATACAAACAATAATCAGATGCCCATAATTCATTAAATCAGGATTTGGCTTCACAAATGCAGTCAAATAACAATGCATACAGTCTTCATCCTTTCGCAACTGAACCACTCATCTTTGTGGCAACTGAGTAGTACAGTACCCTCAAAAAGAAGCCACAGCAACTCACATAGTGCAGAAAAACTATGAGCTGACCTTTATTATTGATGGGATGCAAAAATATCCATTACTTATTTATATCATTAATATGCATATGGACAGTCACTGGTTCAAGTTCTGAGAAGGAGGAGGACGAACTCATAATGGAGGAGAGCAGGATAGTCCTTAGATCCCTCAAGATGTCTCATGATACACAAAACACAAGGGAAAACCAACATCTCCCAGTCAAGGAAGGCAGGTTGAGCAGGGTGATACTGACAACAGGAAGGTAATGATCACAGCAGGGAAATCAATGTGTGGACCTGGGAGCTACAAGAGTGCTTGTTTAAACTAGCTTGGGAAGTGGTGTTAACTGTGAGTATTAGATGTGTTGGTATGAAAATTAAATATCCTCAGGATAGGTGGCATGAAGATTTGGATGAGGGGAAGAGGTTAAGGTCAGTGCATAAGTCAAAAATGAAAACAATGCCAAGAGGCTGCTACAAGAGACCTCAGATGGACAAGAGAAAACTTGGTGTTAACAAGATAGAAAATATACAGGAGGAGGTTTAATAAGCACAATGGGAAAAAGAAAGAGGAGTCTGACACCAGCACAGCCAGGTCAGAAATGAGGGAACTGCACAGTGCCTGTTTTTATGTTCAAAGACAGATAAGTCCAAACCAAGCTAGGAAGTTATAAAGAGAGGTTTTCAATGTGAGTTCTGGGTTGTGCCTAAAAAAATACACCCATCTTTTGAATTGAAAGAGCTTTGATACTCTGTATTCCCCAGTGATTTCAGCAGTTCAGTAACACCCGCTGTTCTGAGCTCCATAGGAAGATCTTTGAAAGCACAGTCCTTCAACTAAGCACAAGCCTTGCTCTTCCAGTCCTCCTCCAAAGATATCCTTCTTAATAGAGGAAGGGTATCACAAGTCTATCCATGTACTCCCCTGAAGCTTATATGCTCCCACAGGAATCACGTCCCGGAATAAAACTCCCATATGAATTGGGAATAAAGGAATGTTTCATCTCAGGCCCTAAATCCAGACTTCTCGGTGTTTGTGTAATCACATGAGCTAGCATCTTAGGACCCTTTTTGCTGCTCCATGCTAAAGGATTTTAAGAAAAGGCACATTATGTCCTGAGAAAGCTTCTGCCAGCTCTCTGGTTCACATATAGGGGCAGACAGAAGTAAGGAAGTGACGTACTGCTTGAGTGATTGATTAGCGTGAAGAAAATCAGTATAGGATGTGCACTGATACTTATCATATTCCCATTTAAGGTGCTTTAATTAGAGGACGTTTTAGGAGGGATGAACCTCAGCTCTTGCATGAAAACAGATTAAAATTTTAAATACAATAATGTCTATTGAGAAAAAGATGAGAAAATATGTGATTGACATAGTATCTAGACAATAATGAAAGACCATGAGGACTGTAGTAGAATGGGGATAGAACTGAAACCTCTCTGGCTTCACTTCGTACCTCCCCCTGTTTTCTGCATTGGATATTTATTTCTTTTACATGTAATAGTGTTTGGAATAACGTTGTACACGTATGGCAAGGTAATAAACGGCAAGCCTAGGCTGCTGAAACAAGAGCCGTGGAGAGCTGTGCCGCT